TGTGGGAAGAATACCAGGCCTGTGTTTAGTGGTCACGAAGCTGATACAGATTTGAATTTTTTTTTACGTCAGATAAGGGGTGCTCCGCCTATATGGGCAACTCTCCACCTATCAGGGGAACTGGGGAAGTTGGGCCACAGCCATTGCCGCTCGAAAGCGCTGGAGACGCTGTAGTACATATGCCAGGCCTGTAGGTGGCGCTGTAGTCCGCCACAAAAGCAGCGAAGAAGATTTCTCACAGATTCAGCCCTTGCAAAAACAGGGCTGGAAAAGAGCAAATGGAGCGAAATGAAGCATGGCTCAAATGCATGATCTCTTTTGTATTTTGAAAAAAAAACTTCACTGACATGTTTTGTATAGGTTTGGCCTTACAATATATTATTCAAATATAGCATGATAGGTCCACTTACATTTACATTATTTAATTTCATATTCTGTTCTTGTACATATCCCATATTCTTTTGACATTTGCACTACTTTTTATTTCGTATTTTATTATAGTATGTTGCATTGTTGGAGGAGCTCAGGTCGGAAACATTTCATTGCCATTCCTACACTGTAGCTTTGTGCATATATGACAATAACACCTTTGAATCTTTGAATCTTTTAATTTGCGATTAAGTATTTGCTTAATATGTACATATAAGTGTGTATGTATGATAATGATGCCTTTACTTATCAAGGTTTTTTATGAAACCAGCTTGCAAGCTAAGGGGACTCTAAAAATAATTTTAGTTTTGCTCTAAGAAAGCATCAGGTGTTTCAGCAACTTGTTGTTTCACTAAAGATTCCTGATGTTATGAGAGACGGGGGGAAAGCTAGTCAACAAACCCCAGAGGACTATGAAACAGAGTTATGACATGTTGGACCGGCCTATTGCTGTGAAGGTCCGGGGACCAGTCACAGTGGTGCAATTACTTGAGTGAGGATGTGAAGCATTTGATTAGTAGGTAAGAGCAACCGGATATAACCTCAAACGTCACCGCCCAAATCCAATAGACACGCCCACCACCTATAGTGACTAAAAAATGTGACGTAACAAACACAGAAAATACTTTACATGTCGCTCCTACAATTAGCTTTGTCACTCTTTTTCTATGGTCTCCTCTGAAGATGCTATTGATTTTAAGGTAACAGACAGTCTTTGTCTATTCTTTAAGCACTTTAATGCATCTGCTTCTGAGCTCAGTTTTATCCCTGGTTTGTGTAAACATTGCTTCTTCATCGCTTCAGAATGTTTAAAAATGTTGTGTTTCCTTGTATTTCCATTCCCATTTGCATGTGCTTGATTCCTTAAAATCTTTATTCACCACAGACAGTACATATGAAAAGATTCTATTCGTAATGTTTGTTCCCAACGGTATCCATCTACGAGGTATTAAACCATGCAAAGCAGTTCACTGAGCTGTATGCAACCCTCCCGGAAGAAGTGTCCTCTGAGTGACTTCTTGAGGAGGAAATGAAACTCAAACAATAACACTCCAAATGAATTTGTGCAGGACTATTTATAGCTTGCGGATACTTGTGAAATAAGAGTTAAATAAATCAGCTTTGTCTTTTGGAGGGCATCACAGCATGCAGCTTCTGCCCTGTCAGAGAGATGCAGCTCATCGTGCCGTTATATTTAGTGTGGCGAGTAATGCTGAGTGGCATTCTGTGATGATACAGGGGCTAAAAATGGCAGAGTGTCATGGATCACATGAATCCTGCCTCACTCTGTGAAACCAAGGTGAAATAATAACTCATCACAGTCAATAACTCTGTATTTATCAATGAAAACGTGAATAAAATATGTGTAGGACAGCATAAAGAGTGAATATGCGGATGAATAGACCAATGTTAGGTCAGTGTAAAGTGTTACAGAAATATTCAAATGGAGGAGATACAAACACGCTGTCTGAAGTGTAGCTGTCAATAGGAAAAAGTCAAAAAGTCAGTCAGGTGGTGAGATCTCTGCGACAAGTTATTCTGCGGTGACGGATGACATTTCTGTGAGGTTGCATCTGGAGTACTCTGGCGCTGAGGCAAAGCTGGCCTTTCACTCTGACTGCCTAACTAGCATTCATCAGGAAACCTCACACACTCATGCAAACACACACATCACCCACACAGGCATAAGACTTCTAAATGGCAGCTGAAACTCTCTTCAAGGTATTGGTTTGGTGGTTTTTACTACAGTCTTCACTGTCTGCAGAGTATTTACAAGTTTATTAATGAATGAATAGGAATGTTTGCTCTCCCTTTTTCTTCTTCTTCTTTCATTTCCTTCAAAAAGGAGATGGTCAAATACAACAAAACACTAGCTTAAAGGTGGGGTAGGTAAGTTTGAGAAACCGGCTCGAGATACACTTTTTGTTATATTCCATGGAATGCTCTTAACATCCCGATAGCAATGAATATCTGAAGTGCGTTGACAACAAATCCATAAAAACATGTCATCCGTAGAAGCCGTGGTACTGTAAAAAGCACGACCAATCATCTGAGCCGGCCCGGCTAAAATAACTGGATGGCCTACCTGCCTGTCAGCCTTCCATCTGTGCACAAACTTATCTCGTGCCCTCATTGGTCATGTGCACGTTCGTGTGTGTTGGAGGAGGGGCTCTGTAAGGAANAACCAGTCGTTTACATGCAGAAAAAGCTACATAACACACAAGGGGACGGGTAATAACCGGAAAAGCATGACATGGGACCTTTAAATTAAGTAAAGTTTAAAATCCAGTCTTAGTTTAAATTCCAAGGAAATGCTCTGATGATAAAAATGTAGGGACTCAATACTCATCGAACAATAATTGCAGCAAAATGATAATAATGTATAACTTTATATGTACACCTTTTTAATTATATGCATGAATAAATGATGTATGTGACCAAGTATTCACCATTTGAATTATAATGTTTATTACAGCAGTGTAGGAAAATAATCATTTCAGAAGCATTATAGTAGTATCAAGGTGTAAGGATAAAAGCACCTCAAGTTGTTCCGCTTTATCACAAATATGCCTCAAAGGACTTTAAAGAGATAAGGCCGTTTAATATCTAACTTATCGTCAATAAAATGATCAATCGTACACATCCAGCAAAGCACACTTCAAAGAACAAGAAGATCTCATGAGAAACAAATTGGAAGACAGGTTTTGTTTTTGCTCTGCGAGGCAGACCGTACCTGTACTACTGATAACCACATTTTTCCTTAACTTGACGCGACATGGGCCAGAGGACGTTTTGGATCAGGCTGTGTCATCCCGCAGAGCAGCTGTTCATTGTAAAGCCGCGAGTTACTTACTTCAACAATCAAGCATGAAATCAATAGACATCAGCTGCAACAAGGACGTGAAAGAGCAGTAATTACTAGCTTGCAGTAAAAATGCATATCCTACACTGGTTATGTTTTGTGGTATCCTTTCTGCCTTCATTTTTATGGCCCTGCTCTTGAAATTGGTTTTACGCAGAGACAGATCTTGTTGGCCCGGTCGGAGGCAGGTGGGTAAATCATCCCACTCCTCCATGCAGAACCCCCTTCATGGTCCGATCTATAGAGCTACCAGGATATATCGCCCTCAACACAAAAGAGCCAATCTGGATTCAATTACCAAGCCAGCGGATAGAACAATTTATATCCAAACTTTCCGGCCTGGAAGACAGACGCGTTCACAGTACAGTTTGTAATTAACAGTTAACCCTCTTTGACCTTTAAGTTAGGATTTACAGTAAAAACACAAATAGCTTATTATGTCAAGCTGCCGTCCGACACGCTGGGGAGGTAACATATCATGTAAAGGTTATTACGTTTTTTTTTACGGTGCATACGCTCGCTCCCAACACACATGCACAACAAGGTATCTAAGGTCAGAACAAACTCGTGATGAGTCACAGTGAGTTTCATCTTCAGTACGTAAATGATTATTATTATTATAACAATTTGTAAACTTCTGTAAAATTGCAAAGCAGTTAAAGCATGGTGGTGTTTTGTGGTTATGGCATTTAAAAAATGTTTTTAATCGTGATGATATGTTAAAAGTCTGTGTCTTTGTTTCTTCCCTTTACTTCTGTCCTTATTGATGTTGCAAATGGAGCTGCTGTGATACAAGAACAGTTTCAGACTTGATCTGACAAAGGATTATCGTATCATAATCAAATTATACATGATAATAACTTGCAGGAAAATTATTTGAACATGTTTATAATCCAAGTGTTAGGGAATAATTTGCTTACTGTAGGTAATCAACCTTCGACACAGTTCATAGTTGTCTCTTCTCACTGTCTCCTTTCTCATAGCATAGGTCTACAGCCTTGGGTATCGCTGCTATCTCTCTTAAGGAGGGACAGCTTGGGCGCATTGTTGTTGCCAGTCTATGACCGAGCACAAGCCGCCATGAGGTAGTTTACTGTTCAGGGACGAAGGTTCCCTGGCGCACATTATTTTCTATGGATGAGAGCTCTAGTTAGATTCAGGGTCCATATCGCTTTAGTGTCGCTGATGAAGAATGTTGATTATTACACTCCAAACTAAACCTCGAGCTGCAGAAGAATTCTTCAGAATTAGTTTTGCAACCGCTGTGTCAACTCGTGACACACCACCTGTCTTGTAAATTATCCGGCCGTAACTCCAAATAAACCGTCAGTGTTTGCCATCAAAGCTCCAGCTCTCCTCGTGTCTCTCTGAGTCCTGTTTCCAATTGCTTCAGAAGTTTCCCCCACACCAAGTACGCCAGGAACTCAACCATCCTTAATGTAATTATTGCACTTTTCGCAAAGGTCAGTGTCTTCTGTAAAAAAAAAAAAAACATACACAGGAAATATAATATCACAATAATAAGACATTGCACTCTATTAACACTTGCAAATTAGTCTTTGGTATCTTTGACTCTTGTGTCATTAGTTTACTGCCTTCACTTGATAGGAATTTTTATCTTCATTCGTTGTGAGTTAGCGCAGAGCCTCCTATCGATGGCAGTTTTGTTTCTGTAGTTACTGCCCAATTTTTTGTCTCTTCTGGCTTTGCACTTACAACTGTTTTCTTATTGGCTGCGCTGTAAGGGTCAAATTTGAAATTATTTGAGGGCAGCAATCTGTAGCAATTTCGAGCAATGCGCCATGCCAAGAATAGCGTTTCCACCTTGTTTGGTGTTGCCAATCTCTCCATAGCAATTGCACAGACAGCGCCGAGCAGTTTCACCACTTTTCATGTGAATCTTAAGAGTATGAGTTATACAAAAAAAATATATATCCCTACATTTTTCAATTAGTTGGAAAGCAATGAGAGACTTATACAGTGAAGGCTTTAGACAAAGTAACTTGTATCGTTCCTGTTGCATCTTATGTTTTATTTTTTAATAGCATTTGGAATAAGTGTTTCAATACAGTATACAATGTTTAATTCAAAGCGATGCACACACAGTGTATCATACATCATACAGTCCCTATCAAATTACTTTTTGCACAGAAGTTTAGCATTACCTGGTCGCTAACTAAACAGGATGCTGCCAATAGTGATTGGAGAATTCTACTTGGTTCTCACAGCATTTTCTCTTCTTCCAATTCCTCTCCCTCATAAGGTTTTACTGGGACTTGACCATGCTGCTGCTGATGGTGGGCAACCTCATCATCATCCCTGTGGGCATCACGTTCTTCAAAGACGAGCACACGCCACCCTGGATCGTGTTCAACGTGGTTTCCGACACCTTCTTCCTCATGGACCTGGTCCTCAACTTCCGGACGGGCATCGTCAAGGAGGACAACACAGAGATCATTCTAGATCCGCAAAAGATCAAAATCAAGTACTTGCGGAGTTGGTTTGTGGTGGACTTCATCTCCTCCATTCCTGTGGACTATATCTTCCTCATCGTGGAGACGCGCATCGATTCTGATTTCTACAAGACGGCGCGCGCCTTGCGGATTGTCCGATTCACAAAGATCCTCAGCTTGCTGCGGCTCCTGCGACTCTCCAGACTCATTCGCTACATCCACCAATGGGAAGAGGTAGGAAGTGCTGCTCATTGTGTTTGATGTATGTGTATGGTTGTGCTGTATGTTGGGCCACTTTTTGTATAGGTTGCTATTTTGAGTTGGCTTTGGCAAACTGTATTCCCTGGATGTGGATAAGTGGACTCACAGAGAGAGAGAAACACAGAGGTTCTGGGAAAATACCGGGGAAATCACAATGATTGACAATCACACACGCATACTTTTTGATGAAGCCAATCAAACACATAGGGCTTCACTTCTTATATCCAATTATAATCCAAATGGTATTCCCATGCAGGGGAGTTACATCAAGCATTTTTGCACAAACTCTGTACTTTCCCCATTCCCCTGGGTAGAAAATATGGATAGATGCTGCTTCTGATTACATCCACCCTTGAAAGGAGTGGAGAGGCTCTTTTGCTTTACCCCAGTCACCAATAAGTTGATGAGGCCGGAAGTTGATTAGCATTTTCCCACCGTGGGCCCGTTCAGCGAGCAATGGGACCACAGAGCCCGGAGAGGCGTTGCTGTGACACAAGCATGATTATAATTGCCGCAATAATTAGAAAAGTTCTCATTGCTTGCTCTCGTTGGATGGATCTTGTTGTTTAGTCTCAGAGGTAAAAATGCAAAACGAAGTATCAGAGTCTCAGCGTGGGATTAACAAGAAAACACAGCACTAGAAGATAATATTGGACAGTCAAGGCTGCTTTGGTCAGTCAGAAAATAAGATAAAACACTGGGTTATTTAATAAATGCTATAGGACTGCTTCTTGGAGGCTCAGCCCTTGATAATAAACTGCTGTTCCACATGTCCTCCCTAAAAATAATCAAGCCCCCTACAAGCTTGTAGTTCTTTGAGGCGTTGGACAGTGCCGTGTGGGGGCTTTAGTTCAGGGTTTAGTTTCTCGATGTAGCATACTTTGACACAAGAAGTTACAGATTACAGATACTATTCAGCTTTGCGGTTGTTGATTTCAGAGATCAAAGCAACATTTTCAGTCAGTCGTCACTTTGTGTAACAAATGGGTTGTGCACTTCATGTACTGTAAGTAGTCCATACATCTAATGTATTACCCAATACCACTTTCTTTACTCGGATACGTTTTCAACAATGACGAAAGTACTTATATTAAATTAATAGTTATTTTTGGTGTTGTTTATTTTTTCTTTTTAGACAGTTTTTTCTAAATAAAACTTGTTCATTTCAGTTTACTTATAATGTGTTATTCCATCTTTTTTGCTAGTTATAGTATGTTATCACAAGTTATACAATATTACTACAAAGCATTCAGAAAGTTCAGTTTCAGTTTGCACAAAAACTAAGCACATACAGTAGAACAAACCCACTCCATGAATAGGGTACGTATTAATTTAGTCCGTTTGCTTCATTTGGCTGCAGCACAACTGAAGGAAAGGACTGTTTCTTTCATCAAAATAATCACAGTCAACAAAGCAATCATTTAAATTTGGGTTTAGCTATGCATGTGTATTTGTGGCAGAACTGATTGGATAATGACCCCTTTGATTTTGTTAAAGAAAGAAACACAATAAAGGTCCGTTCTCTACCAAATACAAGCAAACTTAAAAATGATCATTGAACCAATGAAATACATTTGCAGAAAATAAATTCTTGCCTCGTCTGTGTGGAAGACATTTCCCCTAATTACACATTGTCCCTTCTTACCACACTGTATTGATATCCATTAATTAGCCATTCAGTCTGTAAACTGTTGTCAAAATGCAGTGGCACTAAGATAGTGGGTGGCTGTGTCCATCACCTGAGTGTATGACCTTACATGGACAATTGTAAAGGTTGAATAGCGAGCTGATTGCCAATCAAACCACAATAACCCCAGACCTGCCCACGGCCATTTTGAACCGCTCCTGGTTTTCAAATATTGAGCTGGCTCTCTCTGTAGAACAGCGTATATAAGTGTGGCGACATTAATCATGCAATAGCTCTGTGATGCCATTTCAAAGAGAGGAAAAGTTCAAATGAATCGCTGGGGAAAAATCCCTTTGCCACCCTTTGGGCCTCCATGCATGTCTGCTGCTGTACTTCTGAGCCCAGAATGAAGGGAAGGAAGCATGCAGTGGAGGTCAGCCTGCATTTGAATAGGGAGGACACACTGACAGTGAGCGGTCACATGGTCAGCTGTGCAATGAGGCAACAAAGGAAGGACGAAGAGAGTAGGAAAGGACTGAAGTAGCTAAAATGAAGGAAGAGACAGAAGAAGCAGAATCAACTGCGGAACTAGCTTATGGACTTAAAGGTGGGGTAGGTCATTTTGGAGAAACCAGCTCGAGTGCGCTAGAATTTGAAAATACACANTGTGGGTTTTCACACGTCACAGAACCCAGGAAGCAAACAATGGAAAATGAGGAACCTCCAACGAGGCGTTCTGGGGCAGCATAGACAGGTGTTTTCTGTGTTAGAGTTTTACTCACAGAAAACACCTGTCTATGCTGCCCCAGAACGCCTCGTTGGAGGTTCCTCATTTTCCATTGTTTGCTTCCTGGGTTCTGTGACGTGTGAAAACCCACATCAACAACAAATGACCAGATTGGCCCAAATGGAGCAATCCGCGGAGCACCTCACAA